GACAGGGCCATGGAATGAAAAAAGTAAGTTACAGAATATATGTAGATTGAGTCTTCATTTTGAAGGAAAAAATGCAAAGGCCATATATTTTTATGTGCATATAACAGAGTATGGAAATATATACACCAAACTTATTGAAGAGTAGAATTTAAGGAGGATGAAGCAAAAGGAGTTTAAACACCTGCGCATTGTTCGGATATATTTTTTCTTTTTGACAATGAGCATTTGTAATTTATTTAAACTAGTTTATTTAAATAAAGGGAAATATTTTAAAGACTCTTTTGTTTGTAAGAATAATAGCAGCTATTTGTTATTGAAAATAATAGACAAAACCCAAATTTCCAAGTGCAGCACAACTGTTTAGCTACCGGGAAGTCAAGCAATAGACAGAAAAGGACAAACCCTGCATTCTTTGAAAAAAATCCTGTTTTTCACGCTTCTCTTCATTTGGCATTCTGTCACCTAAAATGTAATTATTCAGAAGCTGGTTTTCAGAAAGCTTCCCCTTCTGAGAATAATGCTCTTTGGAAACAACTTGGAAATGATTCAAGAACTGACTGCAGGTCACAGTTGCCTTACACAATACACTTTATAGCCTGCCCCCAAAGAGATTGGATCACAGAACTAGAAAAGATGGTAAGATCATGCCTCACTTGCACTTGGCTTAGATTTAATCAGGTAATCAAATAAACTCTAGTTGAAGCAGAATGACTGATTGCATATAAAACATATAAATACTAAAAAAAAAACCACAACTCTACAATATTTTGAAGAACTGAGTTAGTTGTCTGAGATGTCTTGGTAAAAAGATGCCTAATTGAAAAAAGGATGTCTTGTTGGGAAAAAAGTCTTACCTTTATAAGCAATAAGGAACTAATTTGCAGTGTTCTACAGGTAAAAGCCTTCTTGGAGATAAGAGATTCTATAAAGTATAGGAAAAGAAATTTTCCAGGGAAGAATTAAAAAATGGGTAGTTAAGAAGCCCCAGTTGCCTAATGGATAAGCCATTGGCCTCCTTAAAAATGGGTAGTTAAGAGATTTGTATTGTATTTAAATTTGCATTTGAAAATTTCATCTTAATTGAGTACACATCATAATAAATATATGAAATATGAGATTGAGCTGATCTACAGATTACTTTTAACAAAATTTGTCCCACAGTGGGAGTGCGGCTTATGCCAAATTTCAGACATGTTGAGCATCAAAAAGAACAATAACTATAGGGGATTGTAAGACATCAAATGAACAAAAATCCATAAGTCCATAGTGATATTCAAAAGAAAAGGAATATAACAAGAAAAGCTCTTTTTTTTGTAGAATGTCAGTTAATAAAAGTAGGAAAGATACTTAGAAAAACTACCATTTTGCATTCGTAAGGCAATAACTGATTCAGGCAAGATCAGCAATATAATCTAAAACCCTTTGTGAAAAATAGGGTATCCACACAGCACCAAATAATCACCCACAAATACCAAACCTTTGCAAAGAGGAAGAAAACCAAACTTTATAGTGAAGAAATCTCTACTTACCAATTTAGCCAAAGGATCACCCTTATTCTTTTAAAGGTCTTTTTCCCTCTTTTAAAAATTGATTTTGGAGGGTGGGAAGAGAAACATCTTATAAGGGCCTTGACCGGGGATTGAACCCATAACCTGGGTATGTGCCCCAACTGGAACTGAACCTCAACCCTTTGGTGCACAGGATGACGCTCCAACCAACTGAACCACACCCATCAGGGCAGGGGCCACTCTTAAATTCAGTAATAGTAGGGCAACCTGATATTATGTTCTTTGATGTAAAGCAACATAAGTGCACAAGATCATTAGTAAAATCTTCTTGCTAAGAATGGTTAAACTGAATCCAATCAAGCTTTACACAATTTACAGGACACAGAAGGACTAGATGTTAAGACAACATAAAGAAACAGCCAAATCCAGAATGTGGGACCTTCTACAAGTGTCCTGACTTTAAAACCCAATGTCATTTTTTAAAAAGACTTTCCTATATAATAAAAGCCCAGCGACCTAAGGGCGGAACAACCAGAACGACCGATCAACCAGTCATATGACTCATACTGACCACCGGGGGAAGAAGCTCAATGCAAAAGCTGCCCCCTGGTGGTCAGTGCACGGCTGACCGGGATGAGTGGTTGCTCCCACAGCAGCTGATCCCCACAGGCCATGCCCCCCACCAGTGCACGAATCTAGTGCTTCGGGCCTCTAGTTCTAGAATAAAAAACTAGAGATCTACAACCAAATACAATGAATAACATTGAATCCTCATTGGGGAAAAGGGAGAAGGGGCTATTAAAAATTCTCAAGCCCAGCCAGGTGGCTCAGTTGGTTTTTTCGTCCTCCTGTACACCAAAAAGATCGCAGGTTTGATTCCTGGTGCAGGCACACACCTAGCAGGTTTGATCTCTGGTCTGGGTGAGCAATCCCCAGTCTGGGGGCGTATGGGAGGCAACTGATCGATGTTTCTCTCTCTCTCTCTCTCTCTCTCTCT